ACTATAGGCCCTGCTCCCCCCAGGACTATAGGTCCTGCTCCCCCGGGACTATAGGCCCTGCTCCCCCCAGGACTATAGGTCCTGCTCCCCCGGGACTATAGGCCCTGCTCCCCCCAGGACTATAGGTCCTGCTCCCCCGGGACTATAGGCCCTGCTCCCCCCAGGACTATAGGTCCTGCTCCCCCGGGACTATAGGCCCTGCTCCCCCCAGGACTATAGGTCCTGCTCCCCCGGGACTATAGGCCCTGCTCCCCCCAGGACTATAGGTCCTGCTCCCCCGGGACTATAGGCCCTGCTCCCCCCAGGATTATAGGCCCTGCTCCCCCAGGACTACAGGTCCTGCTCCCCCAGGACTATAGGCCCTGCTTCCCCCAGTACGGTCCTGCTCCCCCCAGGACTATAGGCCCTGTTCCTTTCCCCCCTGAACTGTGGCCCTTCCAGTGCTGGGACAATGATGCTGTGTCTCCATCTCCGAAGGGTCCTGGTCTGGCATCTGACGCTTGGTCCATATGCCCGGATGCCTGGAAGAATTAATGCTCATTGCTGCTGCACACTTGTGAGCCCGCCAGCCTCTGTCCTGCTGTTGAGCCTTGGTGTTCTGGTAGATTAATTTATTTGGGGAGGTTTTTTCTTTGTCATCTCTAAAACTCTTCACGGGCTTGCTATCCTCCTGACCGGCCCGTGACATTCTGTTTCTCAGTGTATTTATAGACCTTAAGCTTAAAAATAAATATTACAAAGGTCAGAAAGGTGCTTAGAGATGTGTGCACCTACGATTTCTGTTGCTTCTTTTTAATAAGAATAAGAAAATAAACACAAGAAAGGTTACATTTGGTGTATTCACGTTTTTTGTCACAAATCTCTAATTTTATCAGGGGAGTACCAGAGCCGTTCGAAACCAGGACAGTGAGACCAGCAGAGGCTTTGTGGGCCCTCAGTGGCCCCCTGCCCCGGGATTCTGGCACCTGTCCTCCCCTGCCCTCTACTGCCCCCTGCCCTTCCCTCCCCTGCCCTTCCCTTCCCTCCCTCCCTTG